TAGAGTGCTGTGCTTCATGACCCCTGTGCCTTACGTGAAGGTCGCGCCGGCTTCCTGTGTGCCCGTAGTAGAGCAGACTCTGCCTGGGGCTGCCGCCTCTGAACTCTGTTGTTCACTACGGCACCTGTCTCACAAGCCAAGGACTCAGTTTCCCTTAATTCACTACACCTTTGTCGACGCGATGCAGTTCTCTTTCCTGAATGCCGTTATTTGTGGTCGTTTTACTAGAGGAATCTCCTGTGTGTAGTCCCACCGACTTCCATTGTGCTGGAAATCTGCCCTTCTCACAGCTCTTTCGGAAGCCTGCCGGAGCCCTGCATGGATGTGGCCCCTTGTCGACCCTGCAGGACCGTGCGTCCATTAAGCATTCAGGGAGCATGCTCTGCCGGCCCCTGTGCTAGATGCCAGGCACACTGGGGATGAGATGAGGGCCTCAGCCAGGCTTCCTAGGGGGGACACAGGGAGAAGGCTCTTGCACGGCACTGAGATAAATGCAGCTCAGGGAGCAAGGCGAGGGTCACCCCAGCCAATTTGGGAAGGTCAAGGTGGACTTTCTCTATAATGGTTTTCCATTTTATTATCAGTGCACGTAGAACGTCTTATCACAGTTTATTGGCTATTTTGCCTTTGGGATTTGAAACATGTTACTCCACCTGAGCCAAGAACAACTCCAGGGTTAGAGGCGTAGAACCCTGCACAGTTGAAAATCTGTGTATAACTTTTGACCCTACAAAACTTAACTAATAGATTGCTGTTGACTGAAAGCCTTACCTATAACATAAAGATTAGATTACGATCTATTTTGCATGTTGTATGTATGCTGTGCTGTATTATTACAATGAAGTAAGCTAGAGAAAAGAAAATGTTAAAATAATAAGAACAAGAAATACATCTGCCATTCATTAAGTATAAATGGGTCATCATAAAAGTCAGTATCCTGGTGGTTTTCACATTGAGGAGTGGAAGAGGGGTTGGTCTTGCTGCCTCCGGGCCGTGGAGGTGGAAGAGCTGGAGAAGGCGGAAGGGAGGCCGGAGAGGCAGCTGAATTCGGTGTCACCGTTACCGAAAAAATCTGCCCATTACTGGATCCACACAGCTCAAACCTGTGTTGTTGAGGGGTCAGCCGTACTTGCTTTTTAGGATTTTCACTTTGTCTTCTGTACAGTGCCCTGATCCATTCTAAGGAACATCTGACAAGCCATAAAAGTCCAAGTTTTTAAGACTTAAAACACTGTTGTTTCATTCATAAAAAACCAAAAACAGAACAATAATCTTTTTAAGGAAGAGAACCATTAGTCATGGATGCTTTTGTTCAGCAAACAGCTAGGTGCCACCCCTTGCCTCTCATCATGGCAGAGCCACCATGTCTCCGGAAGAGGCAAAGAAGAGTCTGACCTGCCCCTCCACACCCCACCGACTTATTTGGCAAAATAAGTCACCAGGAAGCTTTGGTTGCTTTGAGGGAGCATTAGACCCTCTCACTTTGTCTGTGGTTTAGGGATGAGGGGTGGGGGGCTCTGCAGAGGAGCTGGGCAGGCCGTGTGACCTTATGCTGCATGTGACCCTACACTGCTCATGACCCTGCACAGCTCACTGACGGTCTTTTGATCCTTAATCTGCCCAGAGTTTTGCTTCCATTAAGGATTATTCCTCCCCCTCTCTTTTCCACCCTCTCTGTCTTTGTCTCTCTGCCCTTACTCCCTCGCCCTTCTCTCCCTGGCTGCCTTCCCCCTGAATCCCCCATGGCTGCCTCCTCTCCTGCTCCTCCATCTGTATAGTCACTGCCTGAAGAGTCCTTGCTGCTCCAATTTAATTTTTTATTATGCAAGAGACCACTTCATTTTCCTGCTCCTGTGCCCCGTATGATATTGCAAGCCTAGTTTAGGCACTTGCAAACAGCTTTGCCTTAGAAGTTCTTTTCCAAACTATTGCAAGAGCACCGCATACCAGGTTTTACTCCCTCTCCTTTGCAGCCTCTTCATCCTGTTTCCGGCCCTTAAAATGGGGGGGGGGCTCCACTCTCATGCCCAGCCCCTCCTTTTCTCCATTCTTATGCCTCCTCCAGGTCCTGTGTCCCTGGCTTTGCTTTGTGGGCCTGTCGCAGACTCTCAGACTGGCTCCCCAGTGCTGTCTTCTTGGACCTCCAGACCTGCGTGTTCACTGCTATGTGGCATCTTCTGGAACATTTCAAGACAGCATCCAAAGTCAGACCTGTGATCTTTTACCAACCTCTTCCTCCCCAGGGTACCCTGGAGAGGAAGAATAGCGCCTACCTAGCTGTGCAGGCGGGGATCTGGGGGTCTTCCAGAGCAGCCCACCTTCCGTGGTTGTGGGGCCCCTTCACAGGCCTTGTGTATTGGCGTCCTGAAAGAGACCTCTCCCAATCAGTATTAATTACACTTTTTCTCAAGAACTTCTTAAAAGTTTAGCCTCCTCCTCACGATACCCTGATGAGATAACAGGTGTGAATTCTCCCTTTTATTTATTTATTTTTAAAAACCTTTCCCATTCCATTTGGGAGTGTTGGTATCATTTAACTGAAAAGAATATGTATTTTATTTATGTATAAACATTTTCCACACGTGCCTTTTTGCATTTTGTAATATTTAAGACTTTACAGACATTATATACTATGAATAATTATAACGAATTAATGAGTTTTATCTGCAGGTTCTTAAAAAAAGCATGTATGGTGTCTGCTTAATTTTGTTTTTTTTTCTGATACATTTTCACTTTGCAAATGCATTTGATAAAAACTGTAGTAATAATTTCATAGTTCAGAGAAGTGCAAGACATACTATCATAATAAATAGAGCTTTACTATGGGAAACGAAAAAAGGCATTCTTACCTCGCGGCCCAGTGTAAACAATGGGTGTTGTAGATATTTCTGATGTGTGTCTTCAAGCTAAATTCTGTCAGTTTAGAAATCCTATATTACTTGGTTTTATTTTCCAACGATATTAAAATGATTGGAAAATAAAATCAAGTAATATAGAGTGTATTTTCTGTACATTCTTTGTCTTTTCTGTTGGAACATTCATTGGTGTGTATGGATATCACAGTCGATAGACTGAGAAATGAGCCTGTGACTCCTGGAACTGGATCCTCCACAGAGTCTGTTTAAGATCCAGCTGCACCCACACTGTCCACTGATGGAGTGGGACCGTTAGCCTGTGTTTCATTAGACTATTGAGCCCTTTGGCCTTTTAAAAATATATATGGTCGGGAAATAAATTCTCATATAAAGGTGGGTGTAGTACATGATTTTAGCGTTGTTTTAGGAACGCTGGTGTTTAAGAGAAAACAAATCACTTAGCCCTGACATTGTCTTGTCTTCCCAGGTGTACCTTGAAAGACTCTTAACATACGCAGAGATAGATATCTGTCCGGCCAACTGGAAGCGGATTGTTCTGGGGGCAATCCTGCTGGCCTCCAAGGTGTGGGATGACCAGGCTGTATGGAATGTGGATTACTGCCAGATCCTGAAAGACATCACGGTGGAGGACATGTGAGTGGCGGGGCTTGTCAGAGTCTCAGCCAGACTGGGAAGAAAGCTGCCTCCTTTTTAATGATCCATATGGTACAGAATGAGTGCATTTGACTGAATGTCTCTTGTGAGTTGCAACAGGGGCATGATTGTGCAATATGGCATATGAAAACCTGCATTTCTCATTATGTGGATCATGAACAGGTACTGGTGACATCTCCTGGTTTTGTGAAACTGGTTTATGGAAACTGTAGTATAGGCAAACACCCCTTTACTTAAAATTAGAAAGGTGTGGCTGAGCACAGGTAGCAGCCTGTGATGGTTTGTATTTGGGCTTCGTATCTTACTGCAGACTGTTCACAAAGAGGTAATGCCCCATACAGTCCTTTGGGGGCAATAAGCCAATCCAAAAAGCACAAAAGCTAAAATATTTTACGTTTTTGTTTAGTTTGACAGAGAAAACATCCACAGCTTTGTCATGTTTTGCACGTTCAGTTGCTTCAGGTCAGCCTTGTGTTCCTGGGGCTCCCAAGTGCAGCATGAGCAGGGTTTGGGGAGGGGCATCGGCCTTGGGGGTTGTGGGGACTGAGAACTGTCCAGTCCCCTAGTTTTCCAGGCAGTGTCAGGTTTCTCAGATGGACCAGTCTTCAATTAAGGTAAGGATTATTAGTAGGACACTTGCATTCTATTGTCTGGGGGATCTCTAGGGACTGGGAATCCAGGAACTGAGTTCAGAGCCCTTGGGAAGAAGGAACTGTAGAAAGCAGTCAGATAGCACTACTTGACTTACAGCTCCTTATGGTTTATAGTCACTTCTGACATTATTATTGTAGCTAAAACTTGTCTCATATTTTTTGTTTGGCAAACCTCCTCAAGGAGGCTTTGTCCCAGTCTACACTCATGCCCCTACACCCAGTAATCCTTGGATTCAGGAGCTTCTCAGTGCCTGTGACAACTACCACTGCAGGGGCATCTCTGGGCTGCAGACTTGTGGGCATGTGACTTCCGGATTCCACAGCAGCTAGGGCCCTCCTTGCCTCTGGTTCGACTCCCTGGGCGCCCGTTGTGGTGGTACCCTTTGAAGTGTGCTTGCTTATGTTGTCAGGGCATTTGTTGCAGAGCTTACTTCTGCTGCAGACCATAAAATGTCATCCTGTGTGTGTTGTTCTTTATTACATAAAGTAAGAAAAACATAAAGAAGGTTTTTAAAATCAGAACTATATAGTAAGAAAAATAAAATTCTTGATAATATTTCATGGTGAAAACAGCTACTAAAATAGTTGTCATTCACATCAGAAAGGAGATGGACATTTGGGTGCAAGGTATAAGAAATTCTGGCCTGTTTGCTTTATTAAGGATTATTCTTTCCTCAGCTCCTTGGTATCGTTTGACACTGAACTGCACACGTCACATGATGACTTTCTGGCTGTCCCCGCCTGTTAGGTGGTACATGACCAGTGACTTGGTATAGGTGGCACCCAGGTTCTGTGAGAGCACAGAGGACCCCACCATGACTAGGTGTTCCCACTTAAAGTCAGAATGCCTGATGAAATTAGACTTAGTCGTGAATATTTTTATTTATATCCTAGCTATATTTCCAAAAGGAAGTGAGAGACAAACGCAGATTACCACAGAAGCATGATAATAAAAGAGAACAGAAAAATGACCAGTGAAGAGCAGGAGAGGTGTGGAACCCACCAGGTTTAATTCACCAGAATGCTAGCAAACTGAATTTTCATGGAAACTTAGGCTCAATGGATCATCCTTAGTTGATTTAAAATGTTTGAGGAAATGTTTGTAAAGTATTTGTCAGGAGACACACATGGCCCAGATCATGCATGTGTCAGTTGAATCCTCTCAGCAACCCTGTGACGTGTGCACTGATGTCCGTGTTACAGATCTGGATACTGAGACCTAGAGAGGTTAAGTAATGCTGCAATTCAGTACCCACGTGGGGAAGTGTACCCCCCAATGAGGAAAGGCTCACCTTTCTTAATCCCAGGGACCATTCGTTAGACAGTGGTCAAACGGAAATGATGTTTACTGGTCCTCAGTTAGGAAGATGTTTTAACTAAGGGCCTGAAACATTCATTTTAATTTTTCCTACTCTCCTAAAATTAAGAGGTGGGTGGGTAAAGTAAGAGGTAATTTGGAATTCTAGGTACTCAGTTTCTATTCATTGAAGGTTTAAATTCAAGTCATTAAAAACCAGACAGTTATCAGGAATATTTATAATTGCAGTAACAACAGCAGCAGCTATCTTATATTGAGCACTTACCAGCTAAAAAAAAAAAAATGACTTTTCTGTGTTAATTCACATCTCACGTTTACCAATGAGGCGGTACTGTTACTATTCCCTTTTTACAGATGAAAATGAGGCACTGAGAATTAGGTAAGATGCTCATCCAATCACTTGATTAGTAAGTCCGTCAAAATGTATGTTTCTTCTCTTCTAAGCAATTGGAGCTACAGTTGTTTCATTTATCTAATACTTAATTTTTTAAAAACCTATTTTTTGTAAGTCAACTCTTTTTCTACTTTTCTTTTTCAGAGAAGTTTAAACAATTGGCCAGGGTTCATTCAGCTGAAATTAACTTACTGTCAAGAATTGTTTTGATAATGATAGCCTTAATATCTCTTCTTTTGTTGGGCAGTCAGTACCTTAAGCAATTATACATTATAATAAGGTTGGATTTTTTTCAAGTGCAAAATAGTAGTAGTTACTATATTGAATGAAACTCTTGCTTTACTCATTAAGAATTGGAAAGAATCAGCACTATCTTTAGTAAAATAGGATTCATGCTAAAATTCTGTTCCATATTTTGTCCAAAGAAAATTGATAATTTTTTAGCATGTTTTTTGTCTTTTTTGAAAGCCATTGGTGCCCAGGCTACCCCATCACCATCTGAGCCACTGGCTGAACCTTAGTGATTCATGCAGCATTTGATCAGTGCCCCACATGCCTGGAGCTGGGCAGAGGAAGGAGGCATTCAGGAAGACCTTATGTTCCTAGAAGGTCTGACCGTAAATAGTTCTCCTGAAGAAACTCCGGAGTGCCGCCTTGTTCCACTGTCCTCTGCCAGGCTGGAGCACAGATCCTGGGGAGTGCAGCTCAGGCGCCCTGTGCTCCCCTGCCTCCCTTGCAGAGCCCTCGGTTTCCGGGCAGGGGCAAACAACCAAGCTTTCCCTTGGAGCTCCTGAGCAGGGAGAGGGCTCACAGGTTTCAGATGGAGAGCTTTTCAAATGGGGTTTTTGGAAGGGCTTGTTTTTCCAGGCATCCTTCTTGCTGCCTTCTCTGTGTCCCAGCGTCCTAAAGGGACCTTCCTGGTATTTTTGACCACAGGCTAATGTCCTGCTCAAGAATGATCCAGCAGTGAGAACTTGAGTCCCCCCATGTACCTTTGGACAGCAGGGTTCCGGCTTGGAAGGCAGCCGACTGTGTGGTTGTGCATCCGTGGGTGCAGGCTGAAGAGCATCATGCGACGAGCGTCACTGGGACTTGCAGGCAGAACAGCCAGGGCACCAGGCCATGTGGGCAGTCACCAGCTTCAGGCAGACCTCGTGTGAGCAGATGAGGCCGAGGGCCAGCCGGAGCTCCCACTCCTGCCAGCAGTCAGTGGTCATGGCATCACAGGCCAGCTTAGAGCAAGAAGTGGCAACTGCTGTGGGTGGGGAAAGGACAATGAAATTTCCCTGTGCAGAGTTCTGTAGGCAAAAATGCTGTAAAAAAGAATTACACCTCGAGGTTTGTCTGTTTCTTGTTTTTGTTTTGCAGTGTTCCTGTGTCATTTTCATGTGTAGGCAAATCCAAATAAGGAGAAATCAAGTGACTTGTCCAAGTGTTGCATGGCACAGAAGGTCCCAGAGAAAGAACCTCAGTTCCTCTGTGTCTGGCATTGTTTTGTTTTTAAGTTGTAAAATGTATGTAGCATAAAATTTACAATTGTAGCCATTTTTAAGTGTACATTTCTGTAGCATTGAGTACATTCATATTGTTGCGCAACCATTACCACCACCCATCTCTAGAACCCTTCACTTTCGCAAACTCAGGCTGCTCCCATTAAACACTAACTGGCCGTTCCTCCTTCCTCCGGCTCCTGGTCATCACTGTTCACTTTTTGTCTCCGTGAACTTGACTTCTCTAGGGACCTGACACAAGTGGGATCATACAGTCTGTGTCCTTCCATGTCCGGCGTGTTTCACTTGCCGTAATGTCCTCAGGGTTCGTCCATGTTGTAGCATGTGTCCGAATTTCCTTTCTTTTCAAGGCTGTGTAATATTTCATTGGGGGTGTGTGCCCTGTTTTGTTTATCCATTCATTCATCCATGGACACGTGGGTTGCTTCCACATTACGCTAGTGGGGATGGAGGCTGTGAGCATGGCTGTGAAGATACCTCTTCAAGACTCTGCTTCTAGTTCTTTTGGGAAGTGACCCTAGTTTCTAGAAAAGTAGGTGGCATATTAGATGATTAAAACAACTCTTTTTATAACATTTTAGAGTTCTGTTTTCAAATTGCTGAATACAGTGTTGATCTAGTGTAACAAATATTTCTGAAATGTGCTTTTCGTTGATTGACTTGAATGTATTTCTTACAACGTTTTACACCAAAACTGTTTCTTGCTAGTTATCTAAATGCAGATAGTGAATCCATAAGGCCCATTCTTGGCATCACATTAGTTTTATGATGATTTATCACATAGCAAGCTGTCAGTCTCCCTGTAATAGATAATGCTCCTGCAGTTTGGAAATTCAAGTTTGGGAAATTATTTTTATTTTCTAAATCTTCAGAAAAAATTTTATTGTTTGAAAACACAACAGCTCTAAAATCTCTTATTTCCCCAAAGCTTACCCAGAAACTAAAGCTTGGAGAAAGGTTGTTCTGTTTTCCAGGGAACGCTGGGAAAATGGCACCTCGTTGAAAAGCAGCTTCCTCTGCCTTTGCTCATAGTGTCTGCCTCCATCTGGAACCATGGTGTCTGTTTATCATTTCGGGCAGGATTATCAGGCTGTTCTTTTAGAACAGGAAGCCCTTCTTAGCACTGGGAGAATACGCTTCGCAGTGACGCCTGTTGGCCACCAGACGGCGGTGTGTCCGCAGATAGCTCCCAGGTTCACCTGGCATTTGCTCCTTGGATGTTTGTGTTGGCACTTCTGGCCTTAGCGGTGCTTCTGACACTTTCGTTTCATTGAAATCTTACCTGGGTTCCAGTATTTCACAGGATGATCTCTTATTAAATGTCATTTAAATGAAACAATTTTTTTTTTTTTTGAGACAGAGTCTTACTCTGTTGCTCAGGCTGGAGTGCAATGGGGTGACCTCGGCTCACTGCATCCTCTGCCTCCTGGTTCAAGTGATTCTCCTGCCTCAGCCTCCCAGGTAGCTGGGATTACAGGCCCCTGCCACCATGCCTGGCTAATTTTCGTATTTGTAGTAGAGATGAGGTTTCACGATGTTGGCCAGGCTGGTCTCGTACTCCTAACCTCAGGTGATCCACCCACCTCAGCCTCCCAAAGTGCTTGGATTACAGGCGTGAACCCTCATGGCTGGCCTAAATTTTTGAAAATTATAAAATGTAATACAGTAGATACATTTGGAGCTTGTTACAGCTCCTTTCACAAGACTGTGTGGAAACAAGCAGTGGCGCTCTCCATCTGATGAAAAGACCAGAGCGGGCCCTCCTCAGGCCTCCTTCCTAGCCGCCTGCCCACGGGTCCCAGCGTTCCTTTGCCTAGCAACTTCTGTCTCCCCAGACCCACCGGCCTTGCTCAGCCCCAACCTCCCTGCCCACGTCCTTACTGCTCCTGTCCTTTGTCACAGCAGCGTGAACCGGCATGGAGCCCTCCTCAGTCCCTCATAGCTGAGTGCTATGATTCACTGAGAATTGCCATAGGGGTCTTGGGACACCACTCGGGACAGGATGGTGCCTGCATGTGGGGCCCAGACCCAGACCCTCAGTGTTCAGCGGAGTTGGCGGGACATAACACAGAATGCCAAGGCTGGGGGTCGAGAGGGCGGAGGCGCTGCACTAGGACCTGAGCTTCACTCACAGGAAATGGTGATGGTATGTCCCGGCTGCCTGCGGCAGGTGCAGGTGGTTGGAGGAGACCCACTTTGCTGGAAACACCCTCTCCCCAGCCCTGGTTCCTCTCCGCCAGAGCTCCATGCTTCCCTCAGCTCAGCTCAGCCCTCACTGCTGTGGGAAGCCTTCTGACAGGTCCCGTGCTGGGGGCTAGGCACAGAAAAGCAGATGCTGCCGTTTCTGGCTATGAGGAGACCAGAGAGGCCGAGGCCAGCAGCCCGGGCTGCACAGTGTGAGCAGGGACAGGAGGTGCCTGGACGGTGTGAGTGGGTGGGCACCCGTGGGGCTTCCTGGGGAGAATGTGCTGAATCTGAGTGCCTGACCTAGGACCTGTGCTCCACAAATAGTTCCCTCACTGAGAAGGTTCCCCCTACCCAGAGGAACTGTCTAGAAAGAAACCTAATTTGAAAGATAACTGACATGACAAGTTCTCAAAGTAGTTTTTAAGTTTTTTCGAGCAACCCATCAACATGTAGACAGGCTGGCAGGGGGATCTCAGCACCTCCTCTCCCGTGTACCTTTTTAGTTGAGTGATTCTCAGAGTATGGGGCTGGGGCGACGGCCTCAGCCTCACCATCACCTGGGAGCTCTTTAGAAATGCGCATTCCCAGGCCCCACCCCAGACCTACTGATCCCCATAGTGTGAGGGTGGATCCCCACGCCTGTTCTAACAAGCCCACCAGGTGATGGGGTGCGTGTTGGAACTACTGTCTCCACTCTTCCTGGCTTGTGAGTTCTCTCTTTAAGAGACTGAGGCAGAGACTAGACACCCTCTTCCCCCAATCCCTACCTTTTGCCTAAGAAATCCCCTACACAGTTCCTCCACTCTTTTCTCCCTGGAGGCAGGGAGGGCCCCCGAGGAAGCCAGGTCTGCAGAGGCCAAGTGTTTGCTCCGGGCACCTGACCAGGGCCCACACTGGACTCAGGTGGCGGCTCTTGGCTGCTCCGTCTGCCCTGTGTTAGCAGCCTTTTCTCTCAGAGGCGTGCAGCGAGAGCCTGCTGTGTGTGTTAGATCTCCGAGAGGTGACTCGCCCTGAAACCCTTCCTGACGATCATCCCAATTAATCAGTCCTCATCCATGTGGGCACCAGATCAAGTGGATTCGGCTTTTAATCCCAATGTGGTGGTTAGACTGCCACTCTGGTGTCCAACCAGGCGTTTGATTAGATCAGTAGTCTCCCTGGAGGATGCAGTTTTCTGGAGTCTGTCTCCAGCAACTTGCCTTGGCAGGCCGTGCGGCCTGGTGTGCGGCTAAGCCCAGGCTATTTTTGTCTTTGCTTTGCAGGAACGAGCTAGAGCGACAGTTTCTTGAATTGCTGCAGTTCAACATCAATGTTCCTTCCAGTGTCTATGCCAAGTATTATTTTGATCTTCGTTCTCTGGCAGAAGCAAACAACCTGAGCTTTCCCTTGGAGCCCCTGAGCAGGGAGAGGGCTCACAAGCTTGAGGTAAGATGCTTTAAAACAGTGTTTCTTGCTGGGCTGCTGCAGATGCATCATCTGAGGGCCAGGGACGCATGGTCATATTGATCATGTCCCCCACTACATGATGTAAAATAAAGGTGAGCAACTAGGACATACAGCTGGGCAGCTCATTATAGTATTTTCTGCCTTTTTTTTTTTTTTTTTTTTTTTTTTTTGAGGCAGAGTCTCACTCTGTGACCCAGGCTGGAGTGCAGTGGCACAATCTCGGCTCACTGCGGCCTCTGCCTCCCGGGTTCAAGTGATTCTCCTGCTTCAACCTCCTGAGTTGCTGGGATTACAGGCATGTGCCACCACTCCCAGCTAATTTTGTATTTTTAGTAGTGACAGGGTTTCAGCATGTTGACCAGGCTGGTCTCGACCTCCTGACCTCAGGTGATCCACCTGCCTTGGCCTCCCAAAGTGCTGGGATTACAGACGTGAGCCACCATGCCCTGCCAACTGCTTCATATTTTTAATAGCCCCTTTAATATCATTTTATACTTAATAAGCATGGAGTCTTATTTTTAGACAGAGTCTTGCTCTGTTGCCCAGGCTGGAGTGCAGTGGCGCCATCTCAGCTCACCACAACCTCTGCCTCCCAGGTTCAAGTGATTCTCCTGCTTCAGCCTCCCAAGTAGCTGGGACTACAGGCGCATGCCACCATGCCCAGATAATTTTTGTATTTACGGAGTTTCACCGTGGTTGGCCAGGCTGGTCTTGAACTCCTGACCTCATGGTCTGCCCGCCTCAGTTCTGTTTTGAAATCAAATATTTTTTAAGACCCTTATCTTTATAGATCGGTTTAAAAAAAATCATAAGCCCCCCTAAAAAGCATTTTCCACAATAAAAGCCCCACAAAAAGGTATTTCCCAGCACGTGCCTTTATAGGAAAAAGCTGCCAGATGATATTAACAATTGGGAATCCAAAAAGGTTTGATTCTGCTTTTGATTTTTTTTTTCAATCTACTTTTTCCATAGCCCAGTTAGAGCTGGGGGCAGAACTATCGGTCTGGGTCTGGTTTTTTCTTCTTCTTTTTTTTGAAATGGAATCTTGTACCATCACCTGGGCTGGAGTGCAGTGGCACACTCTCGGCTCACTGCAGCCTTTGCCTCCCAGGTTCACATGATTCTCCTGCCTCAGCCTCCCGAGTAGCTGGGATTACAGGCGCATGCCACCACGCCTGGCTAATTTTTTGTATTTTTAGTTGAGACATGGTTTCACTTTGTTGGCCAGACTGGTCTCGAACTCCTGACCTCGTGATCCCCCAGCCTTGGATTCCCAAGGTGCTGGGATTATAGGCGCGAGCCACCGTGCCCAGCTGGTCTTGGTCTGGTTTTCGGGCCGTCATTGTTGAGCTGTGTAACTTTGGGTCTCCTCACAGCGTATTTGTATGTGGCTCTTCCTCCTCATATGTTCACCAGGCTCTTCCCACCTGAGCTTTTGGCAGGAGAAGAAGGGGTGGGGTGGTAATTAAGCAGGATCCCTGGAGAGAGACCCCTCCTCCAGAGAGAGTGTGCCCCAGCCTTTCCCCTCTGCACCTTTGTCCCAATCCTGCCTTGGTCTCATCCCACAGAGCCTTTCTGAGTGGTGGAGGCACAATGTCCCCAGCTCATGAGACCCAGAGGCCCTCATGCTGCCCAGGCACTGTCCTTCCCAGACAGGATGTCATCACTCAGTGCAGGGTTGGTGTGGCAGCATGACGGCCTGGCCACACCGTGGGCTAGAGCTGGGAGAAGAGAGCTGTTACAGATAACATGCTTACAAAAGAAAAACATTAAATAAAAATTTAAAAAGTAATATGTTAATCCCAAGAAGTAAACTTAGTAAACCATAGAAAAGACTGGATGCCTAGCACTGGATTAGAAATAAAAATCCAGTGAGAGTTTTAGAACTCGGCCATGCCTCTGTGATTGTGTGCTGGCCTTTATAATGGAAAGCCCACCCCGTCCTCCAGTTCTCATCTATTCGAGGGGACAAATGGAAAAGCCTCCCTCTGCAGGATTTGCTGCAAGGCAAATGTGGTGAAACCTTGGTGAGCACAGATGTGAGATAGAATCCGGCTTTCCCGGAGAGCGTGGCCCCCCTCAGCCTGTGCTGTAGTCCCTGGTCCCCTTCGTGTGCAGCTATGGCTCCAGCGGCTGCTGCAGTGCCAACGAGACAAGCCAGAGCTCCTGGCAGCTCCGCAGCCCTGCAGGGAAGCGGGTCTGTGTTCTCTGCTGAGAATATCTGAGGCTCCGGGTCAGCTGCCCTGAGAGCACAGGCTCAGGTTGGTGGAGTCAGGCTGCTGTTCCCTCTGTTAGATTTCTCCTAGTGCCGAGAAGGAAGAGCTTGCTTGCTTCTGGGGCTGCTGTGCCACGGGCCCTACGGGTTCACCAGGGCAGGAGAAAAGGCCAGTCATGTCCTGACAAGGCTGCTCTTTCTCTTCTCCAAATCAAAACCTTTCCACCACCCAGACCATCCCCTCCAGGGAAAAGCGGGCTCAGCCTTTGCCATCAGCCAGTTCTAGCCATACCCAGCGGCAGCTCTTGGAGAGTCGTCGCCAGGGTACCACGCCCCCCATCCTCGTCAACAAAGTGTGGATTATCTCCACATCTTATGTTTCTGTGATCCATCCACCCTGGGTCCCTCTTTTGGCAACCTCTAGAGGTGACGCAGGTCCTCCATGCTTTTCTGCTGAGTCCCTAGCTGGCGGTCTGCAGCTGTCCTCGCCGCCGGGGGCCAAGCTCTCCTCCCTGCGAGGCTCAGGTCCAAGCGCCCGTGCTTCACGCCAGCCCTGCCGTTCTTGCCCTGCATGTAGGTGAGGACGCCAAGGACTGGAAACAGCGAGCGCGTGGGCAGGGCCAGTCCAACACGCCGAGGTGGCGACAGCGTTGACCCCAGTCGGGCCGCCTGTGGGGCGACGCTGTCGTTATTTCACATTCTGAGAGTCTTCTCAGACTGGGAGCTCTTGGGAAACGAGCGGAGTCTACATTCCCTTCGTGTCTCCCTGCGGCCGGCAGAGAGCTGCGCTGGTGGCCGGAGCCCCGCGGGGCAGGGGCTCTGCGTGTCCGACATGCAGGGCCCTCGGCGCCTGGGACGAGTGAGCCACGGGTCCAGATGTGGCCCGTCCTGACCCCACTGTCTCTCTTGCCCCTCAGGCCATCTCGCGCCTCTGCGAGGACAAGTACAAGGACCTGAGAAGATCCGCGAGGAAGCGCTCAGCCAGTGCGGACAACCTGACTCTGCCCCGGTGGTGCCCGGCCATCATCTCCTAACCGCGGAGGCCCGCCGGAGGCCGCACCATCCCTTAGTTTCTCCTTTAGTTTGAGAAAAGACAGACTTGGGGTGGGTTTGGTTTTTTTTCTTTCCTTTTTTACCGCATAGCTCCGTCGGCTGCCTGGATGAGCGCCCGCGCAGCGAGGCTTGGAGGACGTGTCCGTGCCCTGGAGATCCCCGCTCGCCTCCCCGCTGTCAGCAGCGGCGCTCCCCTCGTGGAGGAAGCGGACTGGAATCCTGGAGGAGGGAATGAAGGGAACGGGAAGGCGCGGAGAGGCAGGAAGATGGTTAAGCGGCCCGGCCCTCTGGCGTCCCCGTGGGGGCGGTGGCTGCGGAGCCGGCTGCACCCGGGGCTGGGCCAGCGTGTCCTGTAAGACTTCTTGCATTCCTGCTGCTGCTTTTTTGCGATGGGGGATTTTTGTTCACTTGTTTTTGCCCTGTTTTGGTTTTGGTCCCACAGAGCAGGGGATGTAGTTTGTACCCACCATGGCGCAGACTTCCAAATAAATAGTACTGGTCATTTCTCTCCGCACTATTTCTGCGCGCTGTCTTCTGAGCTTTCTTCCTCACCAGTGGGCTGTGCTCGTTCCATTTCTGTACACCCTTATTTTATACCGTTTTTCTTCAACAATGGCGAAAGTAACTTGACTGTAGTGCTGAACCAAAAGGACCCCTTTCCCTCCTTACTACTCACCCCAAGAACATTCTAGATCACATGGGTGCTTGTGCCTTCCGATTTTCTTGCATTTGTTTTTTTCCTGGCCTGAAGTTGTCATTACAAAATCAGTCAGACTTTGTGGGCTGAAGGACGCTGTGCAGCGGAGGGTGTCCCCGGAGCCTTCTCCAGAGTGCTGGGCGTGGCCTGAAGCCGAGTGGGAGCCATTTCTTTGTACCCCTGCCTGATTCATTCCTCTCCTTACGAGTCCATTGTTGCAAGCAATATTCTTCTCAATTTTTATATGTTTACTTTAAATCGAAGTTAGTCTATTTGTATAAAATTTTTTAAAAATCTAAAATAAAAAAAAAAAAAAAACAAGGATGGGTTGGGTATTCCAGTGGGAAGATCATTGAAGGAAAAATGTTAACTATTTACTGAGGTATTTTTCACAGAATGATTGAATAAAAAAACAACTTGCATTTTCATTGTGGGTGCTTAGAGAAGTTCTACAAAATTCAAACTGTGAAGGTTTATGCTTCATTAATTATGACCGTACTTTTTCATTTTCTGATGATCCCTGATTTCCTTACGGGCTCAGTAAGAATCTTTTATGTCAAGTAAAATAAAAGAGGTAATGATGGAATATGAAATAGCGAATTTGATCTGAAGTCTGAGAGTGTGCGTCACTTTCATATACGATGCTTTGGGTTTTTGCATATTTTCTTAGGTCTCAGTGACAGGTTTCTGAGTTGTTTCCCTTTTCAAGTCTCTGGGAGGCCAGTGGCAGCAGCAGGTCTGTGTTTCACCTTCTTCCCTTGTGAGCTTGGAAAACTTTGGCATCTTAATTAGTCTTGAATCATACACCTGATCCCCAGACATTGCCTGCTCTCCATGAAACACGATTTGGAAATGGAAGGGACTCAGAAAGTCAAAATCCCAAAAACACCAAGCCAAAAGCGTCAGGTGTTGGTGAAATTTGTGTCAGGTACAAGCATACCTGTTTGGGCCAGAATTATCACAGACTTTCTGACCCAAACTTTCAAAAGCAAGCCAACAGAAGGTAAAATGTTAATTATCTTTCCATTGTAATTGTGATGATCTACTCTGTATGGGTACCAAAATCAGCTTCTCTCTTCAAGTCAGAGTTGAATTTAGAACTTTAAATAGAGGTCTAAAAATGTAGAAAATATCGTTTTATATTCCCTAATCTATATAGCTGAAAAAGGGATGTATTTTCTTAGCTGAATATGAATACCTCTTAAATTAGTTCCTCTCAAGTGAAGTATCTTATTTTACCGATCCATTTCAGGAAAGAGGTTCTGCTGCCTTAATAGCAGAAATTTTATTTTTATCCCTTTTATTTGAATGAGAGATTTGAAAATCAAATTATGTAAATATTTCAGTGCATCTGCTATTATTTTGTGGAGTTTATTAAACTACTTTAAAAAATTGTATAGTCTATTTATTGTATGTATGTACATACAGTCTGATACCTAAAATTTAAAGTGGATTCCATAAAACCTGACTCAGTCTTGTTTAGACTACTGAATACTGTTTTAGCCTCTGCCCTGGACTCTACCTCTGTATAGGAAAAGTTTCCATATTCATTAATTAGTATTGATCTGTATGAATTGGTTATGTTTCTTGCACTAGGGATGTTTAAAACTCTGCTGTAAGTGTAGATTTTAGTTTTACTGGCAGGATGAATCACTTGACACATAGGTAGATACTTGAGGTTCATTTTCTTTTCTTTTTCTACATGATGATGAATAGTTATGTTTTCTTCTCTGATTTGTGCAAAGTTTGCCAAAAGAAAACACACAACCAGTACAGTACCTATTGATAAATCATAGTGACTGTAATTTGTTTGTAAGGCGAATTAATGCTCTACCATTAAAGCTGGATTACTATTGAGGAACACGTTGTCTTAGTGTAGTTTTTGAATGGAGAGGTTTTGTCATTAATGAAGGATGAAGGAAACCACACAATTTGTTGACTTCAGTTTTAGATTTCATTTAAACAACAAAGTCACTGGGACAACAAATACCCTGAAGAATCTTTTTGGTTTGTTTTACTTTTTTTTTTTTTTTTTAACTTAGAAAAAGGGAAAGAAGTCAGGTGTTTAAAACCAAATTGGAGGGCAGATGAGAAATCCTGTCAAGATCAGAACGTGCCTTCATGCACGAGGTGAGGCCAGAGGCGTTGGCACCCATCCTGCCCCTCTTCTGGGCTGGCTCTTTGCCTGCCTTCTCTCGGGCTTGGCCAGAGCATCTCCATCTCAGGTTTCCTTTAAGCTAAGCTGCAAAGCAGAATTTGGAGAGTGAATGATTTTAACTTGTCCTGCTGCTTCCTGGGGCCATATTTTACAGATTTGAAATTTATTTATTTTTGAGACAGAGTCTCTCTCTATTGCCCAGGCTGGAGAGCAGTGGCGTGATCTGGGCTCACTGCAACCTCCGCCTCCAGGGTTCAAGCACTTCTCCTGCCTCAGCTTCCCGAGTAGCTGGGATTACAGGTGCCTGCCACCACACCTGGCTGATTTTTGCAGTTTTAGTAGAGATGGGGTTTCACCGTATTGGCCAGGCTGGCATCAAACTCGACCTCAAGTGATCTGCCCACCTCAGCCTCCCAAAGTACTGGGATTGCAGGTATGAGCCACCGTGCCCAGCCCGGATTTGAAATTTTTAAAAAACATGATTCCTGGTTATTGTAGGTATTTAATAAATGTTAAATAAATACATACATAGAACAAAGTAGTTCCTGCCTTCCTGCTGTATTTTTTGTTATTATATTGAGATAAAATTCAAGAGGTTTATGGATGCTCATTGAACCAGTTCTTTGCAAGGGCAGTGGCAGAAAGTGGTACTAGCCCTGTGTTCTTGATCGACTCACGAAGTATGAGACCTACACCAGCAATTGCGAGGTTGCACAATAGAGACCCAGTAGAACTTGGCCCCTTCATATGGATGCTCTGTTTTGTCTGAAATCATTTTCTCTCCCTGGATGTCACTGGCGTCAGCGTCTTGAGTCTGAAAGACGTTAATCATCTGAAAAGTCAGCCATAATCAGGTCCCACCCTTGTTGAAAAAGTGAAGGAAACAAGATACATGCCCTTGCGCTGAGATTGAAAAACGATACGTAACTTGGGTTTTAGATTTTTTTTTTTTAAACGAGCCTCGCTTTGTCACCCTGCCTGATGTGCAGTGGCACAATTGTAGCTCACTGTAGCCTCGAACTCCTGGGCTGAAGTGATCCTCCTGCCTCAGCCTCCCTAGTCTCAGCCTCCCTGGGATGATGGGCATGTGCCACCATGGCCAGCTAATTAATTTTTAATTTTTTTTTTTTGAGATGAAGTCTTGCTCTTGACACCCAGGCTGGAGTGCAGTGGTGCAATCTCAGCTCACTGCAACCTCCACCTCCCAGGTTCAAGTGATTCTCCTGCCTCAGCCTCCCGAGTAGCTGGAACTATAGTCCCCCCCACCACACCTGGCTCATTTTTGTATTTTTAGTAGAGACGAGGTTTCACCATGTTGGCCAGGGTGGCCTCGAACTCCTGACTTCCAGTGATCCACCTGCCTCTGCCTCCCAAAGTGCTGGGGTTACAGGTGTGAGCCACCACCACGGCCACGCTAGTTTATTTTTAAATTTCCTGTAGAAAGGGGGGGTCTTGCTTCGTTGCCCACGCTGGTCAAACCCTGGCTTCAAGCGCTCCTCTTGCCTCACCCTCCGAGGGTGTTACGTCCTAAGCTGCATGGGCTTCAAGGCAAGGCCTGCAAACAGCCTGATGAAGGTGCTGACTTGCTTATTGAATGCAGTCCCTGCTAGAGCTGCTGCACCCAAGCAGGGCTGGGGGGCTGCCCCGGAGTGTTTGCAGTCGCCATGGTGGGACTGGAGTTTGAGCTTCCAAGTCACGGGCTCCCTGCCTGGTTTTCCTGTTAGCTTTTCTTACTGGGTTTGCATATGTGAAGGGGCTAAAGGTCCTGTCTGTCACTGTCCTCAGCAGTGATAACCTCAAAATGAACTTCTTAATGTGTCAGGTGAGAGACTTTGGCGGCTGCTGTCCGTGTGCACTGTGGCAGGTCTGGGCTGGACACAGCACCCAGGTGAGGATGTCCTGGCAACTGTATCTGTCCTCCCTGGGTCTTTGTGGAAAGAGTTCTGCAGAACCTGTTACAGGAAGAAGTGAACTCAGACATCACGTCTGACTTAGTGATGTTCAGATTCTACAGATCTCCATGGACTTTCCTGTCCCCTTTAAGTGACTTGGTTTCAGTTGGGGGCTTTCCTTTTAAGAATTTTTGTTTATATAAACAAGTTATTTCAAATATGGAATAAAAGAATGGCATTACAAAATATAGTCTGGGATAGAAATATTAAATATAACGAGAATTTATGTATAACGTGTTAACACTGGTATTGATCTGTGTGGTCATGGAACCTTGGGTTTTAATCTCAGACCAAAAAATTATCTTGCTCTGTGACCTTGGACAAATGACTTGACCTCTCTGGGCCTCTCGGTGACCTTGGCTGTGAGGGAGACTTGTTTTCATCTCCTTTGTTTCTCAGCAGTCTGCTCAGCCGTTCAGGCACAGCTGTTGGACGCTTCTCTAGATGTAGCAAGGCTGGGCGTAGTAAAAGCCAGGTGCACGCGTAACGGTGACGGAGCACCCGGGACCGGGGGAAGTCGGTTGTGTTCTCCAGGCCCTCTCCTAGAGGAGGGTGGCTGTGGGTAGAAGCAGCAGGTCTCACGGAACCTGGATGCCCAGTTTACTGCTGCTGTCCCTCCTTGCCCACCTCTTCCCGATACAGCTGAACGCTCAGCGTGGCTCTACTTGGTCGTTCCTGGACTTGGTTTGTGAGTTCTTGTCCACATTGGTGGATCATGGAAATCTCCAAACAGTGGAGATAGGTGTGTGAATTCACCGCCAAGTGCCTCTGTCCTGAAGAGGATGCTGCGTCATCTCTGTGAGCTCCAGCAATGCTTCCTTAGACCTGACTGAAGGTCAGGAAGCCAACCTTGGAAGAGAAGGATTTTGCACTTCCTCCTGTGCAGACAGCAGCACTGGGCTCAGCTCGTGGCAGGGATGACTCTGCAGGGGCAGGACACCCGCCCCCAGGGCCAGGCCTTGGTGCAATGCCGGGGGCATGTGGCCTGGCCGGCCCCATGGCTTTGCTGGATTCCGAGTTGCTTCATCTTTAAAACAAAAGAAATGTGTGACTCTCCAGAGCCTTTCCACTCCTAATATTCCATTACGGTTACGCTGGGTTTTCTAGGAGCAGCCTTGAGACTAATCGTGGTCACCCCTGCGATCTGTGAAAAATAAATACAGAATGTGGAAAGACGGTGAGGCACCCACAGCCCCGAATGCTGGGTAGCTCCTTCCATGATTGTGCCCCATCCTGTGCTGAGCCGCGGCCCCTTACATGTCAGCAAAACCCGAGACAAAATTCCTGCTCTAGAATATTATCTAGAAAACGTGTGTACTTGTTTTGTGCTGATGCAATTCCTTCCTTCAGCAAAGACCGAGCTGGACAATGCCTACTTTGTGTTGGGGATGGATACGGCAGAAACAGATGAGCTCTTGGCTTTCTTGGGGGGTGCTCTAGTGGAGCAGATGGTCAAGTTAGCATGTAAAATGGATCGTGGAGTGTCAGGAGGGAAATTGAGGGGTTATGATAGTAACTAGGAGCTGGCAGCTTGGTGGACATGACCTTTTGACTGGACGTCTCCGTGGCAGAGATGGGGAGAAGGGCAGATGGTGGGAGATCAGCCCAGGCCCCGCAGGCATTGGTGAGAAACACAGATTTGAAGACCAGTGGGAAGCTGCCGCAGAGTTGAGTTAGACTGCGCCGCGCCAGGCGTGGTTCTGGTGCTCAGGGAGAGGGTGTGACAGGCAGCACGGTTCCCGCCTCGACGGCCACAGGCTGCAGAGAAGGGCTACATCCACTTCATCGGTTACACGTAGGAGAAGAAAGACCAGCACTGTCACAGGACAGCTCTTGCCACACCTCTGGGATGAACCATCGGTAAGTTGTTACAGATGATGTGTTCCTGAGGCTGGTCCAAACCCCAAGTACCCACCATCTGCCTGCATCAGACGCCGTGGGACTGAGTCAGGACAAAAACCTGGGCCCCTGCTCTCAAAAGCCGTGTTTGGGCTGGGTCAATGAAAACAGACACATTTTCATCCTAAACACATTGTCATCCTAAACACATTGTCATCCTAGCATGGGCATGCGGTGGAATCTCTGCGCCTGTCTTTGGTAATAACAACGTAGAGAAAGTGGTTCTTGAACATCATTTCCTCCTGCAGGCACGCATGAGTTATATAGTCATTTATCTCATGTTCAGTATTTTTTTTTTAGCACCTTGAAGCTAATGTGAGTGCTACGAAGAAAATCTAGGAGAAACAGCTGGAAAATTATGAGAATTCAGTCAGATTATAGTTACAAGATCCGTGCGTAAAAATGGACAGTTTTCTAATTTGCCAGCAGTACCCAATTAGAGAATATAACAGAGAGAAGATGCCTTTCAAAATAGCAAAAAATTGTTGCTGTTTTGCTGCATATGCCTGTAGTCTCAGCTACTCGGGAGGCTGAGGCAGGAGGATCACTTGAGCCCGGGAGCTCGGGACTGCAAAAGGCTGTGAAGGCGTCACTGCACTCCAGCCTGGGTGACAGAGCAAGACCTTGTCTCCTAAGAAAAAACAACAAAATAGCAACAAATTATATCCAAGAACAAACACATTTATCAAATGTTTATAGTGCGTCCTGCACGGTTTAAGCACTCAGCCTTTGTTAATTCATTGAATCCCCATAACAATTTCATGAGGGCGCTTATTAGGCTTGGAGAGGTGAAAATCTGGTCAGTAAGTGGTAGAACCAGAAAGCCTGATTCCAGAGTTTTTTTTATTTGTT